CAACTATAGACTGTTCTATGTTGTATTTTGTGTGCTGATATTACAGCACCCTTTGGAAGGAAATGGCCTCTAGATTGCTAGATGGCATTGCCTGACTTTCTTTTTCAGTGGCTTCATACTTGTTCGGGGTCAGTAACACAGTCAGGCAACTACCTTTTAAAGAGGTGACTCTGCAATGGCAGCCTACACAATTCTCTCAACACAGGTTTCCTTTTAATGGGGAATTCATCTGTAACTGCAGACAATGCAGCCTCTCATCACTTTGGATTATAGGGCTGCCAGCCAGTCTGACACTTGACAGATTCAATCACAGCTGGTGGCATTTGGGGAGTGCAGTGGTTAGCTCTTGAGTGACAATAAGCACTTTTCAACTTTATTGCATGCAGATTGACCGCCATGCTGGAAACGTGGGGTCATTCAGCTGTCACCACCTTTCCTCCGTAGCACAATAGGACCATGTGTAGCTGAACATATGCCAAGCTAGGGAGTCAGGGCAGGTACGAGTGGAACATCGCCCATGGAGGATAACTACATTTTTCTGCACATATATTCTCCTGCAGCAAGGCTACTGCAATGTCCTAATCCAAACGCCAGGCATTTAGAGTTCAAATATAATCAATGAGGCAATTGCAAAGCCAACTAAAATGCATGTACCTCCAGTACAGGGAGAACGTCTGTGTAGTTTTTTCTCACTTGCATGAAATGGGGGAAAAATAGCCCCAATGAAATGGTGACGGTTGCATGTGGCTGAATAACCACTGCCCACAAGGCTACATGCTTTCATTTCAAAGAGAACACAATTTGATGTTCACATTCTGGAGGCAGGGAGATGTTACAGACTGTAAACTGCCCTATAAAAAGGATTTAAAGGATGGTTGTAGTTAGCAACTTCCCATTTGTAACTTTAAAGGAAACCTGTCAAGAAATAAATATACGAGCTGCCATTGCTGAATAGGACTTAGGATCTGGGGTGGTCATCCTGATCATGACTTCAGTACTAAAACAGAGTCTATGTAAGCATCCATAGGAGGTACTTGGCATGCCTTTCCAACCCCAGTCGAAGACTTCACAGAACACACTTTTGTGTTTGTGGTGTTACATCACATGGAATTTCATAACCCAGGCTGTGACTAGCCATCGATGTGCATGGCTTTCTCTCAGTGGGCCCCACTGCCAGGAGAGTGCTTGGAGGAATGCTACCCAGGTGTGACTGCCACTTTTTTTTCCCCATCCAGTGCTAGTGTACACTATTGCTTGAGGGCATTGGCTTCTTAAGTCGTGAAGCAACAATGAGGCTGATAGGCCTGGAGTTTGCCCCATAATTCCACTGTGAAAGTTTCTCTTCAGAGGGTCATCCTTGATGCTTTGTTCTGGAAACTACTGAAAATTGTTCCTTTACTCTTTTTCACATGGTGCAACTGCTATAACTCCTCTTGCCAACTGCAATATACTAGCATATATTCTCAACTCTGTAATATGCTACAAATGCCTTTCGGCTTATTTCATACTGAAACTTTCATGGTAAATATTCAACTGTGGGCTGGTATACGCCCTAGGCACGAACATTCTGGACACGTTTTCTACGGCACAAAAACTTTTTGCAGTCGTTCATCGCAGCAGGCATTCTTTTCCTTTTTGAATAAATCTTAGCAACCACTTAAGAAGCATTATGTTTGTGAATTTTAACTCTCCCCTGAAAGTACACATGTGACATCACCTAGCATCACAGTGACTTCTGTAAAGGGATGACTGGCATTGGTTTAGAGAGATTATTTGGCAGCCTTATCCGCTGGACATAGAAAGACTTTAAGTGACAACAGGTGTCTTATGTGCCAGAAACAGAAAATCTGCCTGAACACTGCAATGTATCGCTGGAAATGTGGTCTGTTACTGGTATTATCACCACATGATCATTATCTGCTCAGTTCCTGAATGGTGGGATGGAATAAAAAAATAAAGAAGCTGTGCCTTGCTCATGGATGCTGTGATCGTGTGGCTTTCAGTTTCTCAAGCATGGGAGCCCAAAAATTGAATTTGTCAGTTTTGGCTTTATAAATTTGCGGCTAAGTCTTCTACAAAATCAAGCCATTCTGATGCTTAATGTTCATAGGGCCATTACAAAATAGTCCTCAATAGAAGTCAAGGTGTTGAGCATACTGAAGTGTTGGTTGGATGCGGCTTTGCATAATGTTGACTTGAGGATTGAATGCAGCATTTGGGCTTGTATTGATCTATGTTCCTTTCCTAAATGGGTCTCTGCCGGGAAGGCATTTGCAGCATGAGCAAAACACATGCGCAAGATTCCCTAAACAGTACCTTATAGGGAGCTTAGATTTGATGAGGATTAACCAGGGTTTGAGGGGACAAGCTGGAAAAGGCAACATAAAGACTGCCACTTAGCTTTGTGAAGTCACTGAGATGTGTACAAAAAAAAAAAAAGGCCTTTCTTATGTTCTTTTTGTAAAACGTGTCACAGTGACACGGATCTATTCAGCAAGGGGTTTAAACTAAACAGAACTACGGGCTTGATGTGTGCATGATCACACTATAGGACTTTCTTTTACTTCCTAGCAACCAAACGGCTTCTTCATTATTTGGGAGACATTATTTGGTTGCTAGGAGGAAAAGTAAACTGGTTTTCAGACTGTTCAAACATGCAGCCTAAAAGGCATTCCATCAACAGCAGACACCAAGCTTTATTTTAGAAGATGCAAGTTCCTGAGATGTTCATTCTCCGATTTTTCTACTTAGAGTTGTCCTGGCAATTATATTCAGGGGAAAAATTGACATTATTGAATGAAGGAAACGCATTTAGTTTAAGAACTGTAAAAAAAAAATGGCTCCATTTGTAAAGCACTAGCAGAGTGTTCCAGATGTGTCCTTCCACCCAGGGCTGTAGAGGAAACTGGACTGCTGCAATATATCAAATCTCGCTGAAAGTAAATCAACATCATGGAAGCTTTATACCAAACAAAAAATCACAACAAAGATCATTTTTTCGTACAAATTTCAGTCCCTACACAAAGCTAAGTGGCAATGTAGATAAATCTACTAGAATATAATTATTTATGCATGATCCACTTTGGTCTTTTTGTTTTTGAGACAGGCAGCTGTTGTGTTTACTGTCACAAGAGAGTTCTCCACTCTTCAGGATTCATAAGTCAATGGAAAAACCACTTTAATGATTTCCTGCCTTTCTGTGATACCGAACAGAAGACAGCCTATATAATCCCCACTTGCTGTTTAATTTCTGAGATAACATCTAATATTTCTATTCCAATCTTTAAAGTGACACTAAACGCAGACATTAAACCTTAGAAAGGCATTCTTCAAGTACCTTAACTATTAACAGAAAAATGTATCTTATTTGTTTATCACTGTAGATCCTCAAATCATCTCTGAATTGGTGCTGACACTGTCCTTCCTTCTGGAGGGTGGCTACTTTTGTTCCCCATGGTCCCTGTGTGTGTTGTCAAGTAGCCACCGCTCCAAGCTCACTCCCGTGATGGACTACAATCTCATGTTTAGTTACCTAATTTGTATTGAGATTGTAGTCCATTAAGGGAGTGAGCTTGGAGTGGTGGCTACTTTACAACACACACAGGGACCATGGAGAACAAACGTAGCCCCCCTCCAGAAGGAAGGACAGTGTCAGCACCAATTCAGAGATGATTGGAGGATCTACAGCCGAGTGATACACAAATAAGATACATTTTGGTACTTGAATGTATTTTTAATGTTTAACATCTGAGTTTAGTGTCACTTTACCTTCAGCAGTTGTCAGATCAGCACTATCAAATGTGTATATGATTGTTTAGGCCTCATTCACACACGAATCGGACCGCACGTACAGCTCTATGGGGCTACGCGGCCGTACGCCCCCCTACGCTCACCTCATTTGTAGGTCCGTAGGGGTGCGGGTGATCGTATTCATACGCCGCCGGAATGGATTCTATCTGCGTCCCGGCCAGAAAACCCGCACCCCTACAGACCTGCAAATGTCAGCATGTCTTTGAACTTAACAATGCCCAGGAACAAGGTGGCTTCTGAGCTTCTGTGTAAACAGTTATTAAGCAGTTACTGCAATCATCTTAACATTTCCCATTGTGTATAAAATAAATGAGTAATGATTACCAAAGCTATGGCACAGAGATGGCTAACTTCCCTCAAAACTACAACTGGCCTTTTGTGTGAAACTCCCTCAATGTTAAAAACTGAATCCAAGACCATACACTTTCATCTGACTAGAGTACACGAACTGATACAAATCTGTTGTGGACATGTAAAGAAGCATTACTGTTAACATACATCACGGAGGATGGGCAGTCCCCAGTTTCTAGGTTACAAAGCTTCACCCTGTTAAAAAAAAAAGGCACCAATTTCCCCACACACAGCATGGACTGCTGTTTTGTTCCTTCCGAAAATCGAGCCTGAAATGTTTGGAGGACTGGGTGGAAATGCTAAACCATTCAAAGATTGATGTTTTTGCACAACCCAGCTATTCAGGAATCCAAGTTCTTGTTAATATTACAGAATTTTATTGAATGATGAATGAGGCTGTACCTCCAAAATTGTAAATTAAAGGCACCTGAAGGCAAGCAATTTAGAGCCTCTTGGCTTCAATGTGGAAAGCACAAGAGAATCTAAGGCTACTGGACAGGGGCCTACGATCCTTACCAACACCACTTCAGCTCTCAAAATGGCAGCCGTTACTGTGACAAGGTGAGAGGTGCATTAGAACTCTTTATTGCAAGTGAAGTTGATGTATTAAGCCCTGCTGGTTTAGAACATAAAGAGGGTTTCCAAAAATTCAACATCCTTATGTGATTTAGACCCCTCCGGTTAGTAACACAGATGGGTTTCCAAGTCACACAACCACCTTTTGTAGGCAAAAAAAGACCCATATGACAAAAGTTATAGAAAAAAAACCAGAGCACTTTGTATTTTTACTTTTCTTGGAAATCCCCTTTAAGTGCAGCACACAACACAAAATAAAAGCCCTTAATTTCCATGTCCCCGATTACCTAAGATATGTCGTTTTCACAGTTTTTCTTCTGCCTTCAGCTCCACTTGCAGATCATCCATTAGAAAGATGGCAGTTAAATGTTCTTTGCATGCAGCACAAAAAATTGCAGTGATATATATATTATTATTTTATTATATCTTGGGAAAATGTCCGCTCTAGCAAAGGGTTTTGGAATACCTGATGTATATAAAAAAATAATGGAGGGGTCACATGACTAATGCTGACAGACTGACAGACACCACACTGGTCTGTGTCCATGCCAATGAGTCTCATATGAGCTATGCATCCCAGTGAATGAGACTTGTTGGTTTCCTAGAACCTGTTAAAATACAATTTTTTATCCTGGAAAATAAACTTTATATATAACTATATACATGAACGAATGTGGTACTACTTACGTTAATGGCTTCTAAAATACAAACAATCTACAATGTGAATAAGTTGGCGAGTTGTTGTATAACTGAATCACACTAGACTGAGGATTTTTTCGGAAGGGATCTATTCCCAGTGTACCGTGGGTTTTGTTTCCAGGAAATTGTTAAGGCATTTGATCTTGGCCTAGTTGATTAACCTGTTTTACAATAGCTGGCAATGGCGGATGCGGAATTTTATCAAGACTGGCCAATAGTTTATACTTTAAAATCAGGACCCTGGAGGTGAAAAGAAAACCATTTACAAAGCTCAGCTCTGCAAAGCGTAGCTCTTCCGGCTTTCGTCTCTTCGGCAAAGCTTGCAAGCAAAATTCACAAACAAACCTCATCTTGTCAGATCGGCTTTAACCAGCTCCAAAGCATGCCGGCTTGCTGGAAGGGGACTGACTTTGCTGTGGAAAATAATTTAAAGTAAAATTCAAAAATAAATATCTAAGTGCCAAGTCCAGCAAGTGCCTTTCCGCTCCGCAAATTTAACGGAGAAAAGCTTTTAGTCAATTCTGTTCCCACAGATGGTGAACCTGTCAATGTCAAGTAGGTCTTTGTCATCCGATCTGTGTTTTAGCTCTGTGCCATCCTCTGTAATGTCCTTCTCTTCTCCATCTGGCGTAGTCAGGAACTGGTCGGGGTTACTCTGTACAAGCAGTGGCGCGGTGGAATTCTGACGTGTTGGCTGGCTGGTGACTGACGAACTGTTGGCTTCATCTGTGGGGACTCCTGCCAGCAAAAACACAAGTAAGGTTATTCCAAACCCAAGGACATGATAGAAGCTGATGTGCTCTACAGGTGGTACAGGTTTCACTTGCATCACATCACTAGGTATCTCACAGTCAAGAAGGGGTGGAATGTTTAAAAAGCTAGCAGGTAATTTAAAAGTAGATCTTTAAGTCTTTAACATCTACAAACTAAAAAGGTACATACAGACAATAAAGAAGGTTCACTTGATACGGCCATTTACAGTCTTAATGGGGAATGCTCATGCTTAGGCACCTGCACAATCTGAGATGATCTTGCTTTAGGTAAATCTATTTAACCAGGACCGATATTCCTGGACATTTTCTCCCCCCCCCCTTCACAGGCATGAATATGCTTATTTCTAGAAAGATCCTTTGATACCGAGATGGTTCTGTGTGGACATGCCAGGTTCCCTTTCTGAAAATGTTAGCTGCCAGGCTGTTATGATGATTCACTGGTTTTACCATTTTCTTCACTGACACAGAACAAGTATGGAGATAAAAAAAAGTCAAAGCAATGGCAAATCTGTCCCGGGTCCCTGACTCAGGAAGCACTCAAGCTCGTGTGTCAGGCCACTACCATTTTGAGAAGGAGACCTTAGCAATGGCAGCTTTTTTGTTCCTTTCATAAAGGGAATCTTTAGAATGGACACTGTCACTACATGATCAAAACAGAAGAATTGCCTGTATAGGAAAAGGCTCCATAATTACCTTTCCGGTGGTCTGTGTGGTGAAATGACACCATGATGCCACTCCCTAGCTACTGCAAGCATTCAACCATCTGGGAGGGTTGAAAATCTGCTCCGACTGGCACATATTGTGATTCCTCCTGCTGGCCTGTATGTCTTGTGGTGAAATAAGAGCCAGCGGGACAAACCACAGCATGTCGTGGCCGGAAAGCAGCAATTATTTCCGAAATCTAATGCTTGGTCACTTATAGCTAGTCATTCTTAAATAGGAATTTTACTATTCAGAAAAAAACTATAAAACGTTTTCAAGAAAATTATTTTGTCAACTTAAAGAGTAACAAAAAAGACTATTCTTATTTATTTATTATTTACATAATTAAAAAAATCTACAACAAAGGGTGAAGGCAAAATAATTGCTACTGAAGAGTGTGATCCACCTGCTTGGCATCCACTGATAAAAATCACTTTGGGTTGAATGGAATTCATTTTAATTTGAACGTCAGGTAAATGACTATAGAGTTGCGCTGAGAAGTTTGCATCCCCTTGGAGAATTGATAATACATGGACCATTTTTACAGAAAACATGAGTGAGCAGGCAAACACATTTATTTCTTATGGGATTCATATTGAACGGGAGGTCATAACAGAATGGCTCAATCATAAAACAAAACATGGCAATAAATAAAGAAAATGAAATGACCTCGGATATCTTTTGTAATAGTTGTATTTAAGGCCCCAAATTCTTGCAGGTGGCATAGCTGCCCATTTGTCTTGGGATTTGTATTGGTGTCCATTTAGTTCCAAGCTGTACAAGGCACAGTCCCCGTCTGACCTGATTTTATCCTTCTACAGCTAAATAATTATTTCAGGTCTTGACCTCCCACAGCCTGAGATAGGACAGTAAAGGAGAAGCAGATGACTCATGAGCTCATCCCCCTGTCTCTCTGTTCTCCTATCACACTTTTGAGCACTGCAACATAACTGATTAGCAAAATGAGCGGCTTCTCCCTCTCCCAGTCTGAGATTTGCTGTACAGTAGACTACAAGAGGCTGATACCAAGTCAAATTCAGATCCTTACACTGCTTGGAATGTAAAAAAAGACACTTTTGATGGCTTTATTAATGAATACAGTGCTGCATGAATTTGTGTTTTTTTATCTCTGCATGGCGCTTAGGACTCTAACAACACAACTAACAAGGTCTAGTATATATGTAAAATGCTGTAATTTGCATGATGCCATAACATGACTCCTCACCTTGATTTGTTTTGGATTTGCTCTGAGCCTTTCTTGGCGGTTTCCCTGGCGTAGCTGCGGGAGGTGGCTGGAACAGCTTGTCTTCCATTTTGGCCTCCTTTACATACTGGCAGGACTTACCAAGCAATACAATACTGTTCAAGACTTTCAGCGTTATCAGCCTAGATAAAGAAAGTGAATAATTAATCAAGTGGATGTAAAACGACCTTTTTAATCCCTAAGGCTAGCTCTACACGCACAGATTGCTGAATGAGAGAAATCAAATAGATTCCTCCTTCCTCGATAAATGACATGGATGGATCTATGGCATTCACACGGCACCTATGGTTGTCTGAATACCTGAACAGTGGCTGCATTTGACTGGATGCAGTCAATCTTCAACCAACAATTTTCCATTGGACTCTTTTTTTTTTTTTAATCGAAGTTTATTGAGCCATGTGGTGCTAAAAGAGCCAACCAGAGCTCGAACTGCAGCTGATTTAGCAGGAATCGACAACATTTAAGCCAGTTTAAGGCTACAAAATGAAGAACTTATTCTCACCAGAGAATATACAGACATTTCCCCTTTCCTTTATATTTATAATTATTCAGTTATATTGGACCATTCATATAGTATAAACAACAGGAAGTTACCTTAGCAATATTGCTTAGAAGTTCAGCGGTGTCAATTTATTTCAACCAATAGATAAAGCAATCAAGCCACTGTTCTGCTGTACACACAAAGGGGAATTTATCAAAACTGGAGCAGACAAAATCTGGAGCAGCTGCGCATGGCAACCAACCAGCTTCTCTCTTTTTCAAATCTTATTAGAACTGAAGAGAGAAGCTCCAGATTTTGTCTCCTCCAGATTTGATAAATTCCCCTCACAGTATCTAAAGTAACTATGCAATGTAAGTGCCATTCTAGGGTACAATTTTGTGGCAGAGAGACAGTCCGAAAGTTTCACATTACCGGCTTTTCCAAGGGGTCCAGCACTTGTTGCCCAGACTTGACACCTAAGTGATCTAAGTCAAGCGTTTACTACAAAACTACTGCACCTTGACTGCTTGATCCAGCACTAATACAGTAGGCCCACTCTGGCTTGACTGCTTGATCCAGCGCTTATACAGTAGACCCACTCTGGCTTGACTGCTTGATCCAGCGCTTATACATTACAGCCATTCTGGCTTGACTGCTTGATCCAGCGCTTATACATTACAGCCATTCTGGCTTGACTGCTTGATCCAGCACTAATACAGTACAGCCACTCTGGCTTGACTGCTTGATCCAGCACTAATACAGTACAGCCACTCTGGCTTGACTGCTTGATCCAGCGCTTATACAGTACGGCCACTCTGGCTTGACAGCTTGATCCAGCGCTTATACAGTACGGCCACTCTGGCTTGACAGCTTGATCCAGCGCTTATACAGTACGGCCACTCTGGCTTGACTGCTTGATCCAGCACTAATACAGTACGGCCACTCTGGCTTGACTGCTTGATCCAGTATACAGTATGGCCACTCTGGCTTGACTGCTTGACCCAGCATTTATTATACAACTATTGTGGCTCGACTGCTCAGTTATACTGCTAATACAGAACCCTGCTTAACTAGCATTAGGGGAAGGAGGAGTGACTTGGAGGACGGACCTGCAGTGCAGCTGATAAAACCTGGAAGCAGATACTGCCAGCAGATGGTTGCCAATGCCAATGGTCCCGAACTAGGGATCATGGTAAAACTTTGTCAACACCGCAGCTTCACATTGGAACTGGATGCTTTAGGATAAAGCCATGAGTGTATAAAATTAACTTATGCTGTATTCATGAATTGCCATCCCTGGACTTATATTGCCAAGGTAGCTACCTGCTTATACTATATGACGGGTCCAATATAAATAAATAATGCATTTAAAACTGTAATTGGGTATATTTTTTATAGTTTTTTTCTTTATTGTGTGTGATAAAAGGATGGACTAGAAGTGTTCTGGCCACAAAGGCAGAACCATTCATGAAGAGGTACATTTTAAGCTTGGCTGGCAATCCACTGCACCGTACACAAAGTTCACCTACAAACACACACACACCAGACAGCCTAATCAGAATCCTACCTGGAAAATGATGATAATAAATTAAAACTTAAGCTGCATAAATTTGCAAATATGTGTAATTTATCCGCCAGTTTCAAGGCTCTTTTGCTAGTTTGTCTGAAAATCTCAGACACTGCAATAAATTCACTATGCAAATCTGTCTGCACATTGCCAAAGGAGTTCTTATGACTGGAATAAAGCTCTACACATCTGATGTGTTTCATTTGCGAAGGCACATTAACAAACAGCAACACTTTAGAGAAGATAAAGGTAATCCATGTAAGTGAAACGGGTTATTACCATGATAAAGTATACAGAACTTATTGAGAGAAGGCAAAATAGCCTTCTCTCAATATTACCATTTAATACGAGTACTGACACATTACTTCATCACAATAAAAGGTATGCAAGGGATAATCTCATTTTAAGACAGGAATAGAGACTTTCAGATCATTCCTGCATGCTTGTAAAGCCAACTGAGAGTACTAGTGAATAGCAACTCTAAGGCCCAATGTGTAGACTCATTTACAGTGCTTTTAACGTATCCTCTTCCTGGACTGAACATATTTTACTGCTAAAACTAAATTCAAACTAATTAAACTATTTCTTAATTTAAAAAAAAGCAAAAGTCAAAGAAGAAATCTGGGGAAACGTTTCATTAACCCCCTGCAGTGGGGCCGGGCCACCCCCCCCCCGCACTGCAAGGTTTACCCGCTTGTGTCTAGGTGCTAAAAATAAAATAATTAGGCGGCATATTCTTATTGAGGTCCCTAGGGCCCCTCTCCCCCTCCTCTGCAGCAGTCTAAGAATCCTTGTGTCATCACTATACAAGTGTATAGACTTGAGGATGCCGAGGAGCATTCCATCTGTATGCTTCAGTGATTGGAGAAGCAGGAAGTCGGCTCCACAGAGTATAACTTTTTTTTTTTTTAGCACCTAGACACAAATGAGCAGTTAACCTTTGCAGTACGGAAGTAGCCATACTGCAAGGGTTAATAACATTTTCCCCTGGAGTTATCCTTTAAAAAACAAAGTTTTTTAAAAGTTTTAAAAGTAACTGAAAACAAAGTTTTAAAAGTAACTGAACTCCAGATATAAATTATTATGCATACATACATTGGTCTAGCTTGACCCATTGTCAGTATGTATATGCCATACCTGGTTGGCCACTGAGAATCCTGTAAAGCGCTGCAGTAGCCAGAGCTATGATAGTGCTGGCCGCAATCTACCGGGTCTTGTACAGTGCTGAGCGGCTTCCCCTCTACACTGAAAACAGGGAGGGGGGAGGAGGTTCAGTGGACTAACAATTCCTAGATTGTTCACTTCTCCTGCCTTCTCCAAACTCGTCACCCTTTTGTGACTAACCCCGTTAGTGTTTCCAATTGGTTATGCTTACCGGAATCATCATCTTTGCTGTGCAGACTGCGTGGCACAACAACTTTACTTCAGAAATCTTTCCAGTCTTTCAATGCACCCTTTGCAAATGCAAGCCCCCAACTCCCTATTCTTCACTGGTAGTCCTGTCCACAGCCTGTTATCCTATTATGGGACCTTTTGCTAAAAGCTACAGAGCCTGGGCCGCACATGCAATATGAGTGGATCCGTAGGGATTGAAGGATTTGCCAGTCTGCACAACGAAAATCTCAGAGGAGCCTTGATTTAGGTAAGCATAGCTTATAAGAAAGCACTGTGAGAATCCAGCAGCTAAGCAACGCATTAAACCCTTTAAAAAAAAGTATGTCTACTAGCAAAGAATGATAAAATGCTTACCCAAAGTAAAAGAGCACCACACAGGCATATGCCAGGACACCTTGTACTTTAACTGAGCTGGTAACCACTCGGATTAACTGGAAAGAGAACAGAAACTTTGAGTTTTAATACTGCACATATAAGTTATATCATTGAATTATACATCAGCCATACATGGTTTCAGCAAAACTACATTGTGGCTACATATTAGCACTTTTGCCTTACAGTGCCTGAGTAACCAAAATGGAATTTGTATGTTCTTCCTGTGTCTGCGGGATGTGTCCGGGTGCACCGATTTTCTCTGCCAGCTTAAGAACATACTGGAACATATACTAGCATTGGGCCTAATCAAGAAGTAAATAAGTAATATCATGCTTGGGGAAAATAAACGGA